ATGAACGTGACACGTTCTGGCTGTCTGTAAATAAAGCAAAGCCACTTCCTTGTCCGACATTAAACAGCCCCACAGAGGAGGGAGGGGCGGGGCGGCTGTCGCCGTGCAGYRYAGCTGTCCTGCGTCTGACCTCAAAGTGCACAAGCTTCAAACTTCAGCGTTGGCTGCGATTTTGAAGCTGAAATCGCGTTCGGTGTGAACCCACCATTAGAGGGAGGCTTTTATACCAGAACACAGCCGCTGTGACGAAACCGTGGAGAAGACACGTCACTGTGGAGAGCAGTTAACCAATATGCAAATTAGCCTGCAGTACCACTGCTCTACCCATATGAGCAGCAAAAACATGTTTTAGACCAAATATTACAGATTTGAACAAATACACACAGAACATCAAAATTAGCATAGAAACAATACTAAATAACATTTTAGACACATTCTAGGCAGTTTATCAGCTAAAAAAAGTTAATTTTGGGGTAAGTTACTCTTTAAGTTTTATGTTTTAGTGTTGGATGTAGGGTTGGGCATAATCGTATCGTGTGCAATTAATCGTCAGAAAAACATTAATCAATTAATTTTTGGCAGTTGACAATTAATACGATTAATGCCACCTGGCAGACTAGCCGCTTGGTGTTCCTCTCTGATTCAAATATGACCAACATTAAAAAAATTGTCTAAGTTATTTATCTATCAACACAATTTAAAGTTTGATGCATAGCCTGAAGTCTGTAATTTTGACAAAATTTGGAACAGATTTTTACGAAGAGCCAATTTTCTCCTTATAAATTGGTCATGTGACTAGGAAATAAGGGTGTCCAGGGACTCTGGGGGATTAATCGTCAAATTAATCGTTATCGGCTAAATACCGCAATTAATCGTGATTAATTTTTTTGCCAATATTGCCCAACCCTAGTTGGATGTCACATAAAATCAGTTTTTATAGTCAAAAAACATGATGATAAAGAAGAACCCTGCAAAGGGTAGGTTTCAGTAAAACAAACAAACAAACAAACAAACAAAAAGGATCAGAAAAATCAGTTCCTTGAGTTTATTATTATGCAAGTATTTGGAATAAAACTGATGCTTATAAGCAGAGAGAACTGTGTCAAGCTTTGTTATGTGGCGCTTGAGGGGTAAACAGAAGACAACACAACACCAGCTGTGAAACTAGGAGTTAGGGACCACCTACAAATGGCAACACCTGAAACATCTGATTATATTTGTTAACATCATTTATATGGTCACTGGGTTAAAACTGGACATTTACACCTCCAGTTAATAGCATTATAACAATTAAAGTAGAAGCATGTTTAATGTTTTTTTTTTTTTTTTGCAGGTTTTTACACTTTGTAGACCAAATCCAACAAGCTAAAAGCCAACAGGCCACATCGGCATACATTACAGACGTACCTGACCTATTACCAGCCCATGAGTTTACTGTACACAAACCACTGAAAAAGCCCCAGAATGCACTGAAAATATCAACATGGTCACATCAGTCGAATCTTGCAAAAACAGTTTACTGAATAATGTGATTTTACCTTTAATTTAACCCATAAACTATGTTCTGGTGTCGACATAGAATTTCTTGAGAAAAGTTTAGTTCATCTTTCTGACTATGATTTCTTTTGATTTCTTTCCAAATTCACTGAGCCGAACAATAATTTATAGCTTGTTTATCTAACAGAATAAAGTTTGTCAGCAGCTCAGGGACCAGATTTTCCCAGTCTCTATTTCTATTTCTACACCTGGCACTCGCCAGGCTTCATAGATAATCCTTGTAAAGGAAACTGTCTGCACCCAGTTTAACACTTGTCAGTCCTAGCCTGAGTAGCGATGTTATATTTTTAGTGTCCAGACATTAAACTCACTTCCGGCCAACCAAACAAGTGATCTGCACCAGCTGCAGATGACGGAGTGGGACAGAGTTCAGCGGAGAGACAGTGGGCTCAGCTCTGACACCACGGGAGGATCAACCTCTTTCACAACGATGGCCACCACCTCAGTGTGACCACAACACACCGCAGAGCGACACGTCGATCAGAGCCCATATGTGTAGCGAATCATCCCCAGCCCAGCCACAGACACCGCAGAGTAACTCCCCTCGCAGCTGCCACATCCGCCTCCGGCTAACAGAGTGTTTTACTGAACTGGAATCTCCCCAGGGCAAACCCCTGATCAGTCTCTCACCTCTCAGATCGGCACCAGAGGAAGTAAAAATGTACGTGTGCATGCCTCGTTTCTTCTGAAAGTGTGTAAATAAACACATCTCTTGGTGTTTGCATCTGGAGCCTGAGTCATGTTTGAACCGGTGGCACAAAAACTCGGGTTTACCACTGACGAGCAGAAATTAAAAGTCTGTACTTTTATTATTTTTATTGAGTTTTTTTTTTCATAGGTAATTTACTTCTAAACCAGATATGTAAAATGAGGTTTTGCTTTAACCGGAGCAGGTGCAACATGTTCATGGGTGAAAAATGTGTTGAGTGGTTTAAGGGGTAAAACAAGGGCATTTATTTTAAGCCAGTTTAATGTTGAGCTTTACAGGAGGGAATGAAACATATCTTTCTGTTAGCATGAGGGGGGTGGGCTTGCTTAACTGCTTTGATGAAACCAAACAGCCTCAAAGCCAGGTGAGGGGKGCACCCTGAGAGTAAGAAGCGCCATCCTCCTGCGTATCCCGAACTCCTCCGGCTCTTATATAACTCAGAGAAACAAATTTAGCTGATAATCACCCCCCTGACATTTAGCCATGGGGTGGAACACACATCAAGGACGCAGAAAAGAGCTATAAAATATTCAAACTATTGCCTGATCTGACCTCAACTGATGTGATGCTTTTGTGTCAAAGAAGCATTTAAAGTCACTCTATTTCCTCAAAGATAATACGAGCAGACAATAACTACGTATTTTCATATCACACCCACGAAGACTTCGCAGCCAACTTCATTAGGTTTACACAAAGTGGGTGTCGCAGCTTCCGTGTGAGACAGGGTGTGCGAGGAAACACGGAGTATTTCAATGCCTTGAGGAGTTGTGTCACAAGGATTAAATAAGGGCGTAAGTGCAAAAGATGTAAGAAGAATCACAGATCAGCTGCCCCTCTCACAACACACAGTTTTTCATGTGAAGACAAACAAACAACACTGTAAACCCCTCAAACCCTGCATTAATACGCACAGGTGTACACACACATACACACATGTATATGCACAAACAACAAGTGGGTAAACAGCTCCTCCACACTTTATTGGCAATTACTGTTGAAGGTCGCCCAACAGTGGCGGGGCTGAGTTCCAGGAAAAAAAAAAAAAAAAAAAAAAGCTCAGTACTTATGTAACCCCGGCTCACAGTTGGCAAGAACCCAGGAATCGTGCAGCTCGCAGGCAAGGAAAACTAGGACACAGCCTCAATGAGTGCCGCTGCCCCTCACGTTCATTAATGCTCACACACAGGTGAAATACGATCACAGTGCCCCCTACTGGTGTAGAAAGGAGACACGAGGAAACGTCCAACAAAATGATGAGTAGAAAACACCTGATTCTGAAGAAAATCAAAGTCATGTGGCTTTCATACCTTTAGCTCTATAAAAGCAAACATAAAAGGCAGATCTTATGAAACTCCCAACTTCTGTTCTACTTGGAGCTCGATAAAGTGTTAAAAACATGAAAAACATTGCTTTGTATTTAATTTGCAGCATTGTTATTGCATTCATTACTCCTTTATTCTCCCAGGTTTTTAGCTTTCCTGCCTCTTACTGATTTCAGAAATATGCTTGCTTTTTAATTGTATTTATTAGTGCACACAACATTGTAATTTAGGGGGAAGACAATGAGGTATATTGACTAGAGGCGGTATCACATGACTTTTCTTGGTTGAAGAGAGCAGCCATACTGTTCAGGGCGAGCAAAATTCAACAGACAGCTGGTGAAGCTGAATGTGGTGGCCATGACATGCTATATTTATTTACTGGCAGGTCATCACATCAGTGAAACTCAGTTTGGTATGGATAACCATAATTTAAAAGAAATACTTATCAGTAAATATTATCATATTAGTCAAATACATATTGCCAACGTACACACATCAGCAATGAACGATGTTTCTAATAGGCAGAGGTTAACTAATGAAAAACTAATTCAGCCATGATAAATTTTTTACATTGACAACCCTCTAGGGATGTCCCGATCCAGATTTTTTGGCTCCCGATACAATCCGATTTTTTTAATGATTCGTCTTTCCGATACCGATCCGATAGCTATTTCTTTATTTCTTTCCAAGTGATAAGGTTGGTAGTATTAAAGCGAGCCCTGCTGTTCCCACCACGAGAAACATCCAGTTTGCAGATTTTGCAAGWTGCAGTTTCAGCATCCTTTTTTTCCACTGAAAACTGTTCCCACACTGTGGACATGGTTGCATACTTGTATGCGTCTTGACTTCTTAACGGCAGTTGTAAAGCATGATGATGCTGAAAACTGTCGCAAAAACTGGATCGGCCCGATCACATGAGTAAATCCGATTCTACCCGATTTTCAAAGAATGGCCACATCTRCCACCGATACTGAGAAGCTGATCGGGACATCCCTACAACCCGCCCCTTCCAATATGCCGTTGCACTCATCCCACAGTGGTGAATCTTCTGAAGTGTGCATGACATGACACCTCCAGCCAATACACCTGATCAGTTATTTCTGTGCTAATTAAAAACATGAACATGGTTATTTTGGTGTAATTTACTACTTGTATGTCATTTTTGGYGCCTAAAGACAGACTTTTACATTCTTTAGAGGATTTTAAAGGATGTCAGGATGATGTATGCGTAAAATGTTTAATAAATTCTAATTTAGAAATGCTCACATTTTAGAGAAACAAGTGTCAGAGCTGCTTTCATGCTGTTTGTTTTAATAAATGATGAGTTTCTGGGRATATGTTTTTAAATATAAAGTAATGTGACCCAAAATGACTATATATCTTTTATCAATCTCATAATGAATTTGGTATGTAAATATCCAGGGACAGACACAAATGCAGCTCTGGCTCTTGGTCCAGCCAACAAACAACTCGTCTTGAAACATGACATAACCCAGTTCTTTTGAGCAGCATGCATCCAGACCATTTCCCCCTCACCATTATAATCCACACACTATTCTGCAGACAGCGTAGCAGGTGTTTAGAGCAGAATTACTCTGCCCTGTTTTGCAACCATCTGTGCCTAGAGGCCCCACTAACAACAACAACAGCACAGCAGCTGCTTCCATWCAGTTACACAACAGAAATTACTACACAGACACAACAGACAGGAGCTTGGGGAAACACTGGCATGAGTACAAGAAAAGGGAGAGACCACCTTAGGCAAATCCATCTCATCATCAAAGGCCCTGAGCTGAAAGAGAACAGAAGGTTTCAGGGGTTAGACAACAAGGCCGGGCGGAGGAAGTTGAAGCTGGGGTCAGTGAGACAACATGACATGTTAGTTAGTTGAGTCAGGACTGCAGAAACATTGTGACACGGAAAAAAGGCTTTTGAAATAATGTTTCCCTAATCGAGCAGAACTAGAGAGGTTGAAATGACAGCGTCAACTTCTTCATAAACCTTTTTTTGAAATATTGAGAGTTTGTGACGATGTGATGCAATACGAATTTTATTTAAGAATCATGTTCAATTAACTGCTTTTTAAAGACACAACTGAATAACGTAACTTTCTTGTCATATTAAATGATGAAATATACCGTTGCTTATGTGCAAAGACTTGACAAATGAGGGTGGGTGAAAATCCTGTTCTTAAGAGTGACAGGTTGGAACAAAATAGGTCACTATGCAGCTGGATTTTAGCATCTGTAGAAGTTTGTAGGATCTTTACAGTCTAATATGGTCAGAAAAGGCTGTCCTGTTGTCTGATCCAATACATACATATTTGTGAATAAGTACTAAAAAGGTGAATGGTTGGTCAAGAAAAAATGTGTTTTTACATACAKTATCAGGTGTTCACTGAGGGACAAAAGAAAAGGTCTGATGAATCCAGTTGCACTATGTGGTTGGACTAGTCTTTGTGTGTCTTTTACCTGGACATGACGTGACATTGGTGCATTATAAATACAAAACGTAACAACAGCCTGGACTTTGTAGCTGAACACTTTCACCATCATCATGAAAATAGTGAACAGTAGCCTCTCTGAGCAGTAGTGTAAGTATTGTATTAAGATTTAGGAACAGGTGTTGACTTAGTCTCTGAGATGTTCAGATCTTAATCCAGTCAAGTATGTGTGTTCTGCACTGTACAAACACCTCTGAAGCACAGAGGCCCCACCTGAAAACTCACAGAATCAGCTTCAGCTGCAGCTTCATGACAAATACAGTAAATGCAGAAAGGTCAGGAGCATTTTAGTGACAACACCATCTATATATAAAACAAGTTCAGTGTACATGACACAATTTAAAGGTATCCATGATGAGTTGTAACATTAGACTTTATTTGATAAACATTTGTTTTAACTGTAAAATAAAGACTGTAAAAATCTTGGACAATATCTGAAGGTCAACTCTTTTAAATGAAACCAGAGAGCGTTGACAGAGAGGAGAAGGTAGAAATGACTCAGCCTGTAACTGAAAATATAGATGGAGGACAACAGAGCTGCTTCATGGAAGAAGAAGCTCAGTTTAGCCTGTTAGCTTTAGCGTTAGCCCCAACACCATATTGCCTTATATGTATTAGCTTGGCGCTAGCGCGACAAGCTAATGAGCTTATCTGAGGTCCTCCATCTATATTTTCAGTTACAGGCTGAGTCATTTCTACCTTCTCCTCTCTGTCAACGCYCTCTGGTTTCATTTAAAAGAGTCGATCATCAGATATTGTCCAAGATTAACCTTCAGGGTGGATATAGCTCATTAGCAGCCTCACACCGATGACCTATCCACGTCGTCATTTATCCAGAATGCTTTGCGTGTAAATAAAATGGCCCCATCCGTGTAATATTTTTTAAACTTTTAGTTAAAAAATGATAAAAACTTAATAGCCTACAGTATTTTTACAGTCTTTATTTTACAGTTAAAATATATGTTTATCAAATAAAGTCTAACGTTACAACTAATTGTGGATCCCTTTAAAGCACACTTATTGCACATTTCTGGGGTTGTATATTGTTTCGTTATAGATAATCGTGACGGTCAGACGTTCCCCAGCCTTCTGTCCTACCTTCTCTCCGTAACCTCTGTCTTTGGTCATCATCTCCCGGAGCGTTTGCAGAACTTTGATACACAGCCTCTCCTCATTTTCCTCCACAAGCTGTTTGGTATGTTTGATCAACCTATCCACGCACACACACACATATTGCTCTCCAAGTCTCGTTTGCGATGTATAAATTAGGCTTTGAATAACATACGTATATATCTGTGTTGCTTACTTGCATATAAACCCCCCGCTCTCACACTTCTTGCGTGAGTCTGTGTTTTCAGGGAAGAGCAGCTCAGGCCGATGCAGCACGTCCACCAGGACTGAGAGCTCGGCCTGCACCAGTGGACGCAGACGGTCCTCCAAGGCAGACACAATGTCCTACAWTACAGAAAAAAAAATAATAATAATACATTCTGTGTGTATATGGAAATGAACTGTTACAAGTAAGTAAAAACAGAACAAAACTAACACGCACCCAAAAAAATAAAAAAAACAACATAACTGGATTTTTATTCTGTAGTTGAAGACATTTCAATCCACAGCTGGAGAACTTCCTTAATCAAAAAACTAGAGCGTATGGAGGTTGAAGCGTTTTTAAATAGCAAAAGAAGCTCTGTTATGTAATCAAGATTCAGATGAGTGACTTGAGACCTGTTTATGAAGGATCTCTAGAAAGGASGGATTTTCTAGACATGACTGCCGATCTACACCAATGTACTCAAACTGTACCTGCAGCCTCTCGATGATGTTCCTGTAGTCCCTTGAGGTGGTCACCACAGACTCCCTGCGGGTGGAGTTGCGAACAGAGAGTCTCCAGCTCAAGGCTGTCTTTTGCACAATGTTGTTGGATTTCACAAACAGGTTGTTCACCTGATTGTCCAGGTCCACAGGAATAGCTATCGCTCTGCTTTTAGCTTGTTTGTGCACAAAGACACGCAGATTATGTAGACTACTGATTATAAACAGTAAAMAAACAAAAATAGAAGCAGGTGTTTAGAAAAAGTTTTGGTCTTACCRACATCGGACAGGACTTTGATACAGTTCTCAACAAAACCCTTCTGGGCTGAGTTCAGCCAGTGGCAGTGATAAACCCTGAACACAGCCTGCAGCAGCTGCACAAAGACTGGCTGCCTGGTCTGTGAGAAAGAGTCAAAACCAAAACAGTCAACCAGGATACACAACCACCTAACTTTATCTACAGCTAGAGATGGAAATAGGGATGCAAGTTATCAATTAATAAATTAATCTGAAGTTGACTGATCTTATCGTTCGACTAACGATTAATTGATAAACTGTCATTTTCTTAAAAACCTG